GTCCATCGACGACAGAGTACTACGCGCTGGGCGTGGCCGCTGCCTCGCTAATGGTGGCTCATGTGCAAGACGATGGTAAACATGAATGGTCTCACGTGATTGCAAATGTCATTCATGCGTTTGTATGACGTTTACTGAAGATGACCGGACGATGAAGTGCGAACTGTCCGTCGTGGTGTCGTGGAGTGAACTGTAGACTTGCAATGCCACCAGGCTTGTTTGAAGGGCAGATAGGATGTGATGCGATCCTTGTGAACTCTGCTCTAACCTTTGGAAATCCATTGCCACGCTTCGCCATCTTGCCTTGTTCCCCCTCCGCCTTGTCAAGCCCCTTTTCAGCGAGCGCTTCTTCATCTATGTTATCGTCGTTGAGGCCAGCCATTGCGGCGGAACCTTCTTTCAGTCTTGCTATTGCCTCCTCAGGACTTCAACTTTCTCCTTCGCCTATATTTGTACTGTCATGGTCCGTATGCTAGCTCACTGACTAAACACGCTCATACGCGTCTCTGCGCAAGTGGGAGGCGACTCGTGTGCTTCGACTGAAGATTTCGAGAACATCACTCAGGCCTGCGAAACCCACCACTAGCATGACGCTCCTAATGCAAGATACATTTAAATATTTTATGATTGTATGATACTATATATCTTGGCCTGGGTAGTCAAAATGAGAAAAATCAAAGCATTGCATTATCGTATTATTGGCATTTAAGTATTAAGTTACTTTATTTGGGAATTTCAGTTTGAGAAAGTTGGCTTGTTCAGTGACTTACTTTGGTGCGATCCTTGATGAAGAAGATCGCCAGTACACCGTACACTCTTGACTACAATCTCAAATTCTAAGAATAAAATAAAGAAGCCGCAAAGTTCACCATATTTGGCAGAAGTGACCTCTTCAGGCTAGTTTTGAAACTTTGAAGCGTCATAGATTTCATGAATTTCAAACATCACTTGAAGGGGCATGTCTGCCGAAATTGAGTGAACTTTGCGCCTTATTCGTTGTATTTCCTGGAGCTTGAGACTGCAGTCAAGAGTGTACGGTATAAAAAATAAAAAATAAAAATAAATTGTTAAAGATGAACGGTTAGAAGATCACCTCTCTGCGTATTGGGCCATGTAACGCGTTATGTCTATAACACCACGAATGACAAGGTCAGGGTACAGCTCGAATGATTTTTTCTTCCGGATAGTCCTGCTGCTGGCCAATGCCTTGAGGAGCGTATGACACCCTCCCAGTATCATAGAGCGTACGTTAGCACAGTGTCACAGCACTGTTGCGGCAATGACAGCCGAAACATTACTGTGAAATCATCTTTAGCGTGATATTTGCTTTGCGGCCTGCAGCTGTAATTGTGGGTGCATTTTCAAATGTTTGTTATAAACAAGGATTTTAACCACTTACCCAGCGAAATTAGCTGCCTGTATATTAACATTGGACGAGAGCATAGGTACATACCAGTCCTGGTACTGGCCGAAACCACAGCGAGCTGTATCATGTTTCTAGGCGAAAGAACATGCTGCAAATGATGTGTGTCTCATTGGAACTTTATGACGCACTCACCTGCTGAGGCTTCATGGTGTCGCCTACCCCTCTGCTCTGGGAGTGGGACTTACGACTTCGGCTCTTCGTTTCAATAAGGCATGTTGCCGAAATAGCAGCGCATTCATATCTCTAATCTCCTGGCTCTTCTCCGAGGAATAAGGCTATTACTACTGTCATATCTATGTGAATAATGTTCCTCTCAAATGCACTTAACAACTTACGCAGTTATTATCCGCTTCGCAGTCAGTTATTTAACAGAGGCAACACTCATCCTCATCGCCGACTCTGGCGTCCAGATAGTTGTATGAGACCGCATTTCCTTCCTGGAGTATATCCTTCCTATCCTCTGTGATCCCACTGGCTGCTCTACCACTCTGGTCATTCCGGGTAATGGGGAACGGGTCATTGCTGTCTACACTTGGAGGCCATTGATGATTTTTAGTTCCAATTTATCGCGATAGCATCCTAACTTTTCTCAGACCCTGACCGTATTAAAGATGTTTGGCCCCGGGGCTCTTAGATAATATCACAACATTTTGAAGAACTTTGCATTTCATGAATATCCTTGGTCCGCGCCTGCAGTACGGTCATTCTGTGAGAGTTTATTACATCGTTTACAGCTTTTATGTCCCCGGTTCTTGAGGGCAAGTTAGACCTTACCCGCAACCAATGCCGGTCACTGAAGCTGCTATTAGACTATAATGATAATTATATGTTTTATATCCGTCGGGGTATCTCCATGTATGTACGTACATGTGATCTTGGCTCGTGACTCAAATGCTCTTGATCTTCCTGTCGACGTGACTGTGTGAACGCATGGAAAAGTCGCTATGATGATGTTTCGTTTCACACTTGAACACAGATCACACTGTCTGTGTTCGTTATGTGGGGATGTTCGAGCCCTATTGCCATCCTCTTATTGCGGAGATAAGTTTCTGTGCTAAGTCCAGGAGGCTGTTGGTGACACCTGTCACGGTAAATGAAGAAATGGCATGCACTGGTTGGCGTGAGGTACTTTTCATGTCCACAATAGGCTCACGCTTTGTCTTTTCGGTTAGCTATATTACGAGCTTACCAAAGGAACACCATGCCGAACGTCACATGATATATTCATGATCCTGAAACATTGCCGAACATTAGCTTAGTACGGTGCGTGCATATATACCCGACGCTGTAACTCCGTCCCAATCCTTTCCACTTGAAGGGCAGCAAACAGCGAGTTTATGTCCAATCGGTAACATGCTGCAATAGTGGGGTGAAACAAGGCACGAGATCATGAGAACAACGAGGAAACAGCAATTAGTGAACGACCAAGCGACAGGCCTATGTATATTTAACGCATTTCGTCATTCATTGTTGCTGTAAACACATGGCGAACCGCAGTGGTCGACCGTGCCATGTGGGCCATGATTCAGCAAGAAAGGAGTTTTAGAAGGATAATTAAGAAAAAGGAGTCCTTGCCGAACTTCAACCACATGTGTGGCGCGTTATATGTGGGTAACGTACGCATATTGTAGACATTCGTTGGAGACATTAGGCTTACTTTCTGATGTTTTAAAATAGGGCCACCGGCATTAAAGGTCCCACGCGCATCGCAAATATATCAAGCTTTAAGATGTGCACATGCAGATACGCCATAATTTTCTGGCTCGTATTGTGTAATTCTCACAGCCATTAGCTGTGTATTGCGTCATAACTCATGCAAAGCTTTGGCATGGCTATCTGCTTTCGAAGAAGCAAGTACACGTTAGTGGTACTTGGCATTATGACACTGTGTTAGGCTTTAGCGTTATGGTCGAAGCCAAAGGACAAAAATTATAACAGTTCCGTGTACGCTATTTTTGGGATTTAAAACCCGTCTTTGAAGTCCAAAGCTCTGTGCTCATTCTAAGAAAACTATAATTTGGACATTTTCAACCATGACCAGTCCCTTTAAGTCACAGGTCTGGACCTTGTTTCGCCTCGTCGCCAGTCACATTTATAAAAATCTGACTTTGTACGCAGAACAAAAATGCGCCTGGAAGATAAACAGATGAACCAGAATTGCGCCTCAAGAAAGCATTGGTTAACTCGTTTCAAGAAGAGTAAAACACAATGCTGCTGGCTGAAGATCAGGACTACCATGTCATGGAATATGGTCGAAGTACAGCATGTTCAGCTGACACACAGTATACTTCTGTAACATGCATTCAGCAATACCGAACATGTCATACTATGTTCAGTATTGCCAAAGTCCTCCTTCGCTTCAGCAGCGCACAGAATGGAGGGGCTGCGAAGAGCCTGCAAACACTAATCGCCATTGTTTGCAGTTGCATCATCTATCCAAATCCGTTTCTACTGACCGTTTGAGCAACTCTTTCTCGTAAGATGCTTTTTTATTTCGATAAATGGCTTGAGGTTTGTGATGTGCATGGATACATGGGAGCTAGCAGTGCATTCGTCGTCTTGAAGATCGCAGCATAAAATATATATGGGCAAAATAACATTCTTATGCATCACATTGATTTGTCTCACGACGTCTATTGTCATCCCGATACGTTATGGTTAAGATATTGCACCCACACGATCACGATACTTGGACGCGGGGAAACGGTACAGGTGCGGATGCGACGCCGGTACGCTACACACCGCGCAGCGCCATCTGCCGCGGACGTCGCTGCGGAGCCGCCGCAGCGACGGTAGCGCCCCCGAAGCTGGTCTGCAAGTGACGCCAGCTGACTGAGGCGGCGACGGCGCCGCTGACACCTGCCTGAGCCCCGGCCGCCGGTACGCTATTTCGCCCCTCTCTATCCCCGATCAGCCGGGCCGGCCAGCTCCAGCGGTGTGAGCTGTGGTGTCCTGAAGCCGATATTCGGAAGGCCAGCGGTCGGTCGGCCGGCAGGCAGCGCAGCACGCCCGGTCGGCTGCGTCTAGCTGACGCTGGCACCAGTGGCCAGCACCTGGCGCTGCTTGGTCTCCAGATTGCGCATTGCTCGATCGCGCCTACGCGCCTCCAGCTTTGCCTGCGAAGTCATGATCGACACGGTCCATGGTAACGACAGCCAATAGATCTGTGGCGAGCCCAATCAACTCCCTCGATCAGAAAACCGTGCTCCAGCTCTACAGGCCCTGGCTTAGGCCTGGCAATTCATGGCTAGGATCTGCCACTTTCACAGCACTGGACCAGGATGTAGTAGTAAACAAATGGACAGAAAATCTTGAGAGCCATTTTTATATCAAGTGTTTTACCTTGTGTTTTACCTTTTACCTTTACCTTTACATAAAAGAAGTACGAGCCTTCAAATGGATGGGTTTCTGGGATCAGAGCTATCACTAGGCAGTGTCTGTTGTATGAGCTCTGACCCCAACCATCTGATCGTGCAATTCCAGGTCAACGGCAAAAGTTGGTGGGGAAAGTTTAACGTGCCGCAATGCTGTGGATGATTCGTCCTACTCTCTGACGTCACATGACCTTTAGCGCAACTGTTGCTACCGGCCGCAGGTCATGCCCACCAAGTAAAAATAGCGAATGAATAGCTTTTTGTCTCGGAAGTATCATTGTTATATGTAACAGTACGCACTTAAGATGGGATCTTTTTATGATGAATGACGCCGCAGAATGTCCCACAACGTATGGTAAAATGCGTGAGGCGTGAAAACATCGGATGTCCACTGACCTGCAGGTCACCGCGTGCTTTGGCGGCCTGTTTGTCCTGCTCGCGGAGGAAAAGGCTCATTTCCATCTCGTGCTCTTCCCTCATGTTGTCCAGCTCCTCTGCGGAGGGACAGGATGCAGTGTTCGTAATCTGGTCGGTGAGGGATGTGAGTGGCGACAGCGTACGCCACTCATAAGATGCTGGCGGGATCACATTGGGAGCGCCCGCTGACGGCGATAGGCGTCATGCAGCGCTGGAATTAACATGTCGATCTCAATGTCTATCAACTGGGCAGTAATAAGGCTTCTGTTATCGGGTGATAAGAGGATCCTAGCAGGTTTGAGACGGATCTGAATTAAGAGGAAATTAAGTTATGATGAAACGCTTGAACGTTATTACGAGAAATTGTAGGTAACAAGCTCATACTGAACAGGAAAACTAACAGAGGGTTTGTAATGCATCCTTTTCGCCAAATCTCGGTACGATCTTCCCTTAGCGCTTACTTTTGAACTCCTCGTACGATTTTCCGAAGAGTTCCTCGTTGGTTGGCATTGGATTCAGCTCGTCTATGTTCATCGGTGGTGTCATCCGATCCATATAATCCGTCTGCGGATCACGCCAGGCGCCTTTTGTCTGACCCGTCGCACGCTTCGGTACACATCAGTAATAACACAAGTGTGCCCAATTATTCTGTCAGAATTACATTTATCAACGAACATTGGGGCATTTCGCACTTTCGCTATATCAAAACAAACAAGGAAACACGAAACATGATGTGTTCTCTTTAATGCAGGCATGTGCTGTCTTAGACAGCGAAACTTCACATCTCTTTACATCAGAGTGACGTCCGTCACCATCTAGTTATAAACAGTGCGACATGTAGATAACGACTGAAGTGATCTTGCGGTCTCAGCCGTCTCATGCAACTGACCGACTCGAACGTCTTCATGATCTCTTCGTCGCTGAGACCCTGCAGTGACATGGCCACCTCGTCACTGCCGTCATCCTCGATCTCCACGTGCACGTCCGTGCCCCAGATCTCCTTCACCTGCGGCAGACGGTGACTGAGAGTTATGCGGCGCCGGCTTAGCGCGGCTTCGGTCCGCCGGCGGCAGCTCAGGCCTCGGTCCGCTATTGAAGCGACGGCTCAGGCCTCGGTCCGCTAGTGAAGCGACAGTTCAGGCCTCGGTCCGCTAGTGGAGCGACAGTTCAGGCCTCGGTCCGCTAGTGAAGCAACAGTTCAGGCCTCGGTCCGCTAGTGAAGCGACGGCTCTGGCCTCGGTCCGCTAGTGAAGCGACGGGTCAGGCCTCGGTCCGCTAGTAAGCAACAGTTCAGGCCTCGGTCCGCTAGCGAAGCAATAGTTCAGGCCTCGGTCCGCTAGTGAAGCAACAGTTCAGGTCTCGGTCCGCTAGTGGAGCGACGGCTCAGGCCTCGGTCCGCTAGTGAAGCAACAGTTCAGGCCTCGGTCCGCTAGTGAAGCGACAGTTCAGGCCTCGGTCCGCTAGTGAAGCAACAGTTCAGGCCTCGGTCCGCTAGTGAAGCAACAGTTCAGGCCTCGGTCCGCTAGTGAAGTGACAGCTCAGGCCTCGGTCCGCCGGCGACAGCTCAGGCCTCGGTCCGCTAGTGAAGCAACAGTTCAGGCCTCGGTCCGCTAGTGAAGCAACAGTTCAGGCCTCGGTCCGCTAGTGACAGCTCAGGCCTCGGTCCGCCGGCGACAGCTCAGGCTGCTGTCCGCCGGCCAGCACAGTGAAGCGACAGCTCAGGCTTCGGTCCGCCAGTGAGGCAGTAGCTCGGACTTCGGTCCGGCGGCTGGTACAGTGGGGCAGTAGCTCGGACTTCGGTCCGGCGGCTGGTACAGTGGGGCAGTAGCTCGGACTTCGGTCCGCCGGCCGCCACGGTGAGGCGACAGCTCAGGCTTCGGTCTGCCGGCCGACACAGTGAGGCGACAGCTCGGGCGTCGATTCGTCGGCTGGTACAGTGAGGCGACAGCTCAGGCTTCCGTCCGCCAGTGAGGCAGTAGCTTAGACTTCGGTCCGCCGGCCGGTACAGTGAGGCGCCAGCTCAGGCTCAGCGGGCCGCCGGCTGGTACAGTGAGGTGCCAGCTCAGGCTCAGCAGGCCCCCGGCCGGTACAGTGAGGCGCCAGCTCAGACTTCAGTCCGCCGGCCGGTACAGTGAGGCGCCAGCTCAGGCTCAGCAGGCCGCCGGCTGGTACAGTGAGGCGCCAGCTCAGGCTCAGCAGGCCGCCGCAAACGTCAGTGTTACGCACTCTCTATCTGCAAATTCAACAGCCTACTTTGGGGGGAGGGTCGACGCGATTCCACCCCGTAAGGGTTTGTTAAGAATAGCTCCCCGGCATAAGAATAGCTCCCCGGTATGTCATGCAATCGCGCCCAAAATTTACAGTAACCTACGATGCATCTATTGTACGTGTTTTGACGCCAAAAACGTGTCGCATCGCCCTCTCCCCCCATCAGCCTGCGTTGTAAAAACGGCGAATCAGGGCGAGAGCTAAGGCATGAGCTTGTATGCAGAAACGATGGCTATCGTTACTCGATAGCGGTACTTGAAGTTTGAATACACCTTCTCAGGGCTCGAGCATTCGCAAGATCCGAAACTATTCGCACGTATTCGAATCCTGCGATTCCGAATCGTCAGTTCTAGTTTTAATACACCGATTTTTATGTTCACAAGCGTCATCAACATTTGTGATCGTCCAATGTCGTGACCTTTCCGACACATGCAGTCGTGCACCCCTGTGTTGGATTGGGATCGCCTCAGTGACGCACAAGCCGTGCGTGCGTCGGTCCAGAGCTGAATAGTTGATAAAGCTCTGACCGGTACTTTTAATATGCTGTTAATATGCCGCAGACCGTGAATACGGAACGACACATATCCGACTGCATGTGATCACGGATTGCCAGGTCTGACAGGTACACCATCGGTGGCATGGCAGTGTTGCCAATAAGCACCCCTGCCTAATCACTTCTGGTGCTCCATATAGCCTAGCAATTACCTACACACGTTCACCTTTCATGATCGAATACTGAGGGAATTCGTCACGTCGATTGAGCCTTGCCTTGAAAATGTGCCGTGGCAAGTATTCATGTGCAGACACTGAGTGGCGAAAAAGGCCTGATGATGATGGACAATGCATCGGCTTGTCCTTTGCGTGCATAGCAGATGGCTACCAGTCTGCATAGAGCAACACCTTTATTCATTCGCATCAAGGGTGTATGCGTACCGCTACACCATTGGTCGGCCAGGTGACCGTTTGTGAAGCGTGGCGGATACACTCAGACGTGGTCAGAGGGCTGTTGGTAGTGAGGGCGGGCCAGCTACCTTCTGCTTGATGAGTCGCACCCGCTCCTCCTTGAGCTCCAGCGTGGTCTGGCGCACCTGCCGGTTGATGGCAGCCAGATCTTGCATGATGGTGGTGTTCAGCACCTGCGGCAGCGGGTTCATAGGACAGTCACTCCACCAGAGGCACTGACAAAGGTGACAGGCGAGCATGTTGTGCGTGCTCAGAAGGGAGCTTCAGGCTTTCTGTGGGAGGCAGGGAAAACTTGAAAGGTCGATTTACCTGAGAGACAACGCCTGTGCTGTTATTACGGCTGCTCATGTAATTCCAACGTGTGGGAAGGCATATCATGTATGTGCTTTGTTCGGCGATGGAGAGTTCAGATGTAAGTGTACCTGCTCGAACCAGCGTAGCAAGGAGGAGGCCTTCTGATGGTTCTGCTGCAGTCGCTCTCGGGCCTTCTCTGGGTCGTCATTGTTCGGTGTTTCGAACACTGATTCCACATCCTGTTGTGCACACAAAACCCCTCCGGCTGATGTTCGACCCATTTCAGTCCCCGTCGTCTACCTGATGGTTCGGCAGTTAGCTCGCCAAACCTCGCCAAACCCAACAACAGCTTGGCATGCCATCGGTGAATATGTTCTTACTTTTGATACAGATCCTTAAGATAACAGTGGTCAAAAAAACATTGTCGAGGCAGCTGGTGGCGCAGAACGGCATGTAGATGAACTACGATTGCATCGACGTTTTCGGTAATCCGGATTCATTTTTCACCATCCCAAGGCTAGACACCACGCTGTGAGCATTACAGACAACAACACGCGACAGGCATCTACACTTTCACAACTACAACTGCCCGATTACTAGCACATGTTTTTTGTGGCTGCATATCGGTTTCTCCTACCCCAGCCGCACACATTTTGAGCAGCTTTTCGCTGGGCCTTGCTACTGACTTGCCTTCGATTCCGCCAAGCCATCCTTGATCCACGCCTTCTTCGCATGCTCCTCGAGGCGGCTAACGCCATGATCTCACCTGATTGAGCGAGTTGTTGTTGCCGATGTAGTTGGCAACGCTGTCATGCTGCTGCGCGGTGCTGATGTTGTGTGGCGTCTCGATCATGTTCTGGCGTATCTCGGTCGGCATCGTGTACCGGATCTCCAGCTCTCTGTGAGAGTGTAAGTGGCTGTCCGACACACGGCGCGTTCCGCGAGAAGGCGGCTGCTGTACCGCTTCAGAAATGACGTCGTCGACGGTGATTGGTGCGCCATAAATGTGTGGCCCACCCCGACGCGTTATCGCCACGTGAGACGCATTGATTGCGCAGATGAACAACGAGTTCAGGAGCTTGGTGATTGCTGTTGTTTTCAAGTTGCTGTAGGCATAGACGATTGCTGTGATGACTGCTTATGCGGATGACCTTGTTACTATGAGGTGAAACTGAGCGCGATATATGCTTTGTGCGTTTCAAGGCGGCCTGTTCGGTTTGTGTGAGTGTGTGTGTGTGTGTGTGTGTGTGTGTGTGTGTGTGTGTGTGTGTGTGTGTGTGTGTGTGTGTGTGTGTGTGTGTGTGTGTGTGTGTTTGTGGTTTGTGTGTTTGTGTGTGTGTGTGTGTGTGTGTGTGTGTGTGTGTGTGTGTGTGTGTGTGTGTGGGTGTGTGTGGTGTGTGTGTGTGTGTGTGTGTGTGTGTGTGTGTGTGTGCGTGTGTGCGTGTGTGTGAGCGAGTAAGGGCATAGTTACATTGTCGGGATGTCTGGCAGGTCCTGCCACTTCTGCACGGCCACCGCTAGCTGCCTGCAGGCGTACTCCATCATCATCTGCGCCTGACGCCACTGCCAGCACAGTCACGGATCGACGTCACCGCCAGAGGCCATCAACACCGTCACAGACTGGCGTCACCGCCAGAGGCCACCAGCACCGTCACGGACCGACGTCACCGCCAGAGGTCATCAATACCGTCACGGGCCGACGTCATCGCCAGAGGCCATCAGTACCGTCACGGGCCGACGTCATCGCCAGAGGCCATCAACACCGTCACGGGCCGACGTCACCGTCAGAGGCCATCAACACCGTCACGGACACCAGTCACGACCGACGCATCCCCCACCAGCACCGCACGGACCGACGTCACGCGCAACACGTCACAGCGCGTACCGCAGGCACACCGCTCACGGACCGACTCAGCAAGAGGCTCATATCCGCCACGGACCGACCGTCACCCGCCAGAGACCAAACGTCCGGACCGTCTACAGCAGCGCCTGCATATCTGACAACTGGCGTCAGACGTCCGGGAGTACACAGCCCTCCAACGTATCTGGAGGACAGCGGCTTTGGGTGGCAGGGCTGCGTCCTTGTCAGCAATGAATGCCAGATGATGTGGAACCGAAACAGAAAGGCTGCGCGACATCCTTGAAAACGCACCGGCTGAGTGGGCCGAGCTATCATAACGGAGGGCCAGTGCATATGGCTGTGTCGGGAATAGCTTTGTCTCGCGACGGTTTGCTCATCTAGTCGTGTTCATTCGTTCAAAACTACGCAGGCCGGAGCTAAGCCTTTGGGCGGTGATGACTGTTTCATCTCCTCCCATGTACGCTGAACGTAAGGACGTGGCTTGCAATGCCTTCATTTTACAGCGCGAGCAATCAGCCTCAAGCACTTTCGTGCCTGCCGTCGCTTTGTGCGGCATGTGGGCGAAATGACCGGGTGCTCCAGTGCGAATGTGGCGTGGGAGCTGACAGAGAGCCCCGGCTTGAACGCGACATCCATCTTCAGTGGGACCATGGGCAACACGTCTAGGGTCGATTCCACTACGGCTAACGGTCATCAGATTTGCAGAATTCGAACCAGCCCGACACCCATGAATGACATCGATTCAGGAAAGAGGATTGGACTGACGATAAGACTGGTGTAGAATTTTAGTATGGCATGTTGCAATGGCGGTTTTTGACCAGGCTTCCGTTGCGGAAGGGGCTTTACATTACTAGATAACCTCAGACGGCAGACTGAGATGGAACCTGAGCACACTCACATGACCTCCGAAGGATGAAACAGGCACCTCTAACTTCAGACCCACCTTGAAGTTGGCCTCCATGATACGGGCCCGTCGCGACTCCAGAATGTCCAGCTCCTGTTCCAGCTCGATTTCTCGCTTACTGCCATGCCCTCCTCCAAATATCTTGGCTGAAACAAACATTGCCGTTCGAGCTTAGTGAGAATGTCCTTTCCCGGTGCATGCATTGGTTTCATGTAAATGTAGGTGCATTTAGATCGCGTTCGCTGGAATGCCATAGCGTTGCAGTCTAGCTCCAATAAGCAATAAACGGAGCCCAAGTGACATGGCACAGATTTCACATGCCGTTGCTCACGCATTAATTTCCTCGATCATTCTGAGAAGGTGACGCAAAAGGAAAAATCATCGACAATCGGTACGTGACGACAGGAATCGCCCAAGGGCAGGCGGACACCAGGCAGGCAGGTCGGCCGCGCAGGAACACAGACACCAGCGTGCCGCACGGTATGGACGTATCACCCAATTACCATCGAATCGATTGGCCCGGCAGTAAATATAAAAAAGAGTCGTCGTCGCCGGCCTTG